TACAAATAATAACTATTGCATTTTTTATAATGCTCTATGCCTTCTTAAGGACTTTTATATAGGTCTCATGTTATTTGATCTTGACAATTCTCCTAAAAATTTAACCTACTGGGAAATTTGTGTGCCAATTTAACACACTCTAATAAAGTCCCTAAATTAACGACCACTTTTTGAGAGTAGACTATATGAGGCACTTTTATATAAAATTATTTCTAATCCTTACAACTGTGCAAGTTGTCCCAACATAGCAAATATACTCAACTTAAGAATGTAGAAAATGTATTAAAACATATACCATTAAAATTATATTAGCATAAAACTATTTCATGAAGTATGTTAAATCTTGTACGGATTTAATATGGTGCTATTTATTACCAAAAGTGATGGTATTGTAAAAAAGAAGTCTTCATTTCCCAGTAATGAAGGAGAAGGGAAGGAAATGACGCTATATGACTTCAAAAATTCCTGCTCTAAAAAAAGTCTTTATTTTCCTTCTACAATTCCCTATAATATCTGAACATAACATGTTATTTTTCCTGAAAAATCTAAGGTTACATATGTTCAAAATTGGGATAATTCAACAGGACTTGTAAGCTCTAAAACATGATAATTACTCTATAACCCAATAGAAATGGTACTGATAAAATTCCCTCATTCTTGCAGATTTCCTTGTTCCAGCGGCATTAGCTCCTCACTGGGTGGGTGGTTCCCGTGGGACTCAAATATCTCACCCACACTGGCCTCTATGATGTCTTCACGGCTAAGGCCATTTGCACAGGCCATGTTTTATCAAATCTACAGTACAGCTTTGGTTTGGAGGGAGTTGTAACTTTTGTGATCACCCATGGGACAGATCTTCTTCCACAGAGCATTCTTTGTTAGTGAATGGACGCTTTGCCAAGTCCAGGCACTGGTCCAGGCTGTTTATGATATTGTAGATTCACTAATTGTAGGCTTATCTGCTTCATTAGTTCATGGAGGGGGCTGACGAGAAGATCGACACAGGCATTAAGCCTTGAAAATGGCATTCACACCTTAATCTATTGGCTATGAAACACTTCTCCCTCAGATCATCAGATAAATCACCTACATTTACAGGCTGGCCTGTAGCACTATTTATCTGGGGCATAGAACCTCTGAACAAAAGGGCAGGAAACTGTAAGTGAGCCATCCTTGAGAATTGCTCATCTCTGCCCCAGCCTTCCTGTTAGATCACAAAATAGCTCTCAGGTTAGTTCAGGAGCAGACCTGGGGAGCCCCAGGATTTTCAGAATAGTAGACAAGTAAACACCTCAATTTAAAATCATCCTCAGCATGGCCTCAAGTGATATTTAGCTGCTTTAACTTGGGGCACTATTTCCTTCCACAGAAGTAAAAGTCTTTTTGGGCAATCCTTTCCAATCAAAATCTGTCTTATCAATCCCAAAAGTGTGTTTCAGTAAGAGAAGCCAACACTTTAGGAGACGCACAAGATTTGTATGTGTCAGAACTGCCATCTTCCTTCTTCATCTTAATGCTCTGAAAACTAGTCCTCTCTTGGAATCTTAAAAATCACTGTCTGATAGCCACTAAAAATTTCCATTTCAAAACCATGGCTTCATCAAACCATGAGTCCTCAATTGTGGTGGCTTCTAAAAAATCATCGTGTTTAATGCTAAACCGCTTTTGATCCTATGCCCATATGTACTCAGCAGGTTTCCATCAAAATATCTTTATGATAAATCAGTTTACTAGCATTCAAAGGTGTAAGTGCTTGACAATCATTAAACAAATATTTTTCTCGAGTTCATGTAACAGAATGTAAAGGGAACGACTCCAAGTACTTTTGCCATTTAGCCAAGTCTTAATCTTCGTCAAATTGCCTTAGCACTTCAGATTTTACAATTAACTAATTGATGAACAGTTTCCTTTTCTTTGGCGTTTTTCACTGTTTGGCTTCTTTCCATATATCTTTAGCGCAGGTTTGAAACCAGTGTGAACATGCACTCCTGGCAAGTGCATTTCTAGAACTATAAAAGAAAGGCTTAAAGTCTTTGTTTTTCCTCCTGCCTTGTTCTGCTCTGGGTTTGTTGCCTATTCAGTAAAACAGAAGACATAATCAATTAAAAAAAAAAAAAGCAAGAACAAAGAAAGTAAAATAGAACCCAAGGGAAGTAGGAAGAGAAAAAGAAGTGGGGAAATTAAACTTTCACAGTTACAAGTTAACTCGAGAAGTTAAATTCCAGGAACAAAGTTAAGCAAGGTGGCCACCTGCCTGTTTCAAATGTTCCCAGAGTCATAGAAAATGAGAGTCCATCTGAAGATGCTCTGTTGATGCTGTGGCAACCTAGGCTCCTCACCCAGTATGGCACCTCACCTGCCACAGCTAGAGGCTCAAAACTAAGAGCGCAAAATCTTTTTGAAGGTCAAATGCAGAAAAGAAAAAGCGTCATGAACAAAAAGAGGAATTCTGCTTGGAATGACAAAGCCATTTCAAACCAAACCTCTTAAAAACTACAATACTACAAGACACACAAAAACACACACCTGGTCAAATGTGACTCCTAAGTTTTGAAAATGAGCCATATGCTGTATGCTACATACAGCGAAGGTACTAATGTTTTCCATAGACATATCATGGATTCCCAAGCCCATTTCCAAGAGTTTTAAATGCAGTAAGACTAGCCCATCATCACAAACTATTCACATTGAATGTTGAGCCATTCTTCAATAGATTCTGGTTAGCTTTGACTCTTAACTGTTTGGTTCCGGGTCTTTAGTAAGATCACGGATTTATGGACTGAAGAAGTAGAGAAATGTTCTATAGACTGCTTTAAACAGATTGTTAATTTAATGTGCTAGAATAAATGTTCATATATCAAAAATTTGGCAAATCAAACCGACATTTGTGCAGACAAATCTAGCCATGCTTTTTCATGTATATATCTAATACAAAATATTTATGCACATTGATAACACTGGACATTGGCATATTTCATGTATACATATGTAGCTGTACTTGAAACCTCTGTAAGATTTGGTCAGCCCGTCAAATAAGTTTTTTTTGTGTGAGGAAGAAGACCCTGAGCTAACATCTGTTGCCAATCTTCCTCTTTTTTGCTTGAGGAAAATCGTTGCTGAGCTAACATCTGTGCCAATATCCCTCTATTTTATGTGGGATGCCACCCCAGCATGGCTTGACAAGTGGTGCTAGGTCCATGCCTGGGATCCAAACCTGTGAACCCTGGGCTGTCAAAATGGAGTGTGTGAACTTAACCTCTATACCACCGGGCTGGCCCCCTCAAATAAGTTTTAATCTCATTTCCTAGGGTCTCAAAAAGCAGAGGTCTTGTTTTCTCCAAGAGTAATACCCAAAGCAACTGATAAAAGGCCGCCAACACCAGGAGGACATTAAAATGTCTTGACAACTGACCCTCTGGAAATATTTGCTTACTGTCCTTTCCCCTGCATTTGGATCAAATGAGAACTGTCAAGTTTAAAAAGCTATACAGGGGGGCCAGCCCAGTGGCGCAGTGGTTAAGTGCACACGTTCTGCTTCGGTGGCTGGGGTTCACCGGTTCGGATCCTGGGTGCGGACATGGCACCGCTTGGCTCGCCATGCTGTGGTAGGCATCCCACATATAAAGTAGAGGAAGATGGGCACGGATGTTAGCTCAGGGCCAGTCTTCCTCAGAGAAAAAAAAAAAAGAGGAGGATTGGCAGCAGTTAGCTCAGGGCTAATCTTCCTTGGGGGAAAAAAAAAAGTTATACAGGGGCCCACCCAGTGGGCTAGTGGTTAAGTTCGTGCACTCTGCTTCAGTGGCCCAGGGTTTGCTGGTTTGGATCCTGGGTGCAGACCTAGCACTGCTTGTGAAGCCATGCTGAGTCAGTGTCCCACACAGAAGAACTAGAAGGACTCACAACTAGCATATACAATTATGTACTAGGGCTTTGGGGAGAAAAAAAAAAAAAAGAGGAAGATTGGCAACAGATGTTAGATCAGGGCCAATCTTCTTTACCAAAAAAAGCATACCTTTAAAAGAAAAAAGCAATCAGGCAAATTAAAAAAAACAGTTGTACAAGTTTCTCCCTTCTCCTGTTATGTATCAGTAAATTCTTAATTCTTTATGGCTTGTTAATACTTTTAAAAAGAAAAAAACAGTCTGCTGCCAAAGCCTGGCTCTGGAATCAGATGGGGGAGGGAGTGGGATCTGCAATCCACAGAACATAGAAAATTCCCATTGTCTGGAATGTGGAGCTGCTGGGACTTTCCCTTTCACATTCACAGCATGACAGCAAGAGCTTTCCACATGTGAGGATGATAACCAATTACGTTTGCACAAGTGCATCACCATCATAAAGAGTGGAAAATGCACAAAAATCCAGGCTAAGAAAGTAAATGAAAAAAATAACTTCCATTTCCATATTAATCCTTTCTTATTTTTCACCACATTCATGAAATTTTCCAAATGCAGACTCACCTATTATCCAAACCCAGGCAGAAGGAAGCTGGTCTGGGAGTGCCATCCCATCCTCCCCCACCCCATGGTTGACAAACATTAATGGTCATTCTTACAAGTTGGTTTACTGATGTGAAATTTTTCTTAGAGACCTAGGGCTTCCTTTTAAAATGCAAAGACAACAATGACTGTTCCATTAAGAAATCCACATGCACCCTGTTACCTGCTTAAGGGGGAAGCATTTCCTTTGAGTCTAAATCAAGTTAATAAATTTAAGATACCTTGGAGGGCTGGGTGCACTAAAGTTTTGGCAGAAGTCCAGAACTAAAAGAACTAATGCATTATTTTACTTTGTTTCTTTATGAGAAAAAACAGTCTGCTGCCAAACCCAGGTCAGGAATCAGACAGGGAGGAGGGAGGGGGATAACTTGCAGTTCATTGATAAAGCTAAACACAGGTGATCCTAGGAGAATTTTTCTCATGTGATCATTCCCTTTAACCAGAGCGAAGGGCCTAGAGAAGGGAAGTTGATGTGGCTGGGTCTGCTTTTGCCGTCATTACCTGAATAGAGGTCAGGCCCAGGCCCTGGGGAGCGTCCCACAACCCCGTCGGCAGCATCTCGTGGGGAAGTGGCTGGCTGCAGGGGCTGCACGGTGAGGCAATCCGTGAGCAGGTCAGGATGGAGCTCTGCACTGGACCGCAACTAAGAGAAGGAGAAAACAGAAGACAGATGGGAAAGGAAAGCTGTTCCTTGGAATACTTTCCTGGAAAGGCATTATGCCCTAAGGTTCAGTGCAATTCAACCCACAAGTATTTATCAAGCAGCAACTATGGTTCAGGCACTGGGCTTAAGAGAGTCAATAAAAGAGGGTGAGTTCTCCAGCCCTAAGCAGCCCTGGCAGGTGCTTCAGGAAAAATGTGGCCACAGGCGGTTTTGACTTCAGTCCTTGATATTTCCACTTCTGAGAACCAAACTTCCTGTTATATTTCCTCTTATTTGCTCTGTATCTTATCAGAACTTGTAGTGATAACAAAAACAAACTCAAGTATATTTAGTCCAGATTGGAAAGTGCTTTTAAAATACAGAGATACTACCATGAAAATATCTTGGAGATAATTAAGAAATGTTCATTAAGATTTGATACCTATAGATTTTACATGAGAGGAAATTTCAAAATATTACGGAGCATGATTAAAAGAAAAACCAATGTCATTAGCAGCAACAAAACCCCAACAGTAAGTTATATGAAAAAACAATTTACATCTCCATTTTATCACAATGACAAATCCTTTATATATTAAAGAATTACATGTAAAAAAATCAAGCCATAAAAATGTTAGAATAAAGTATAGGTGAAAAGTTATCTGATCTCTTCATGAAAAAGAATTTTCTAGGTGTAATTTGAATGGAAATAATGAAAGCTTTTGTTACTTAAAAATATTAACTTTCTGCTTGTATAAAAACATAATACCTTTAAAAAGCCTAGAAATATATTTGTTACAGATATTATAAATAATTATCATCTTCAGTGTTTAAAGAGAGCGTATAAAATTGATTCTGTCTTTATCAAGACAAAACTAAACTTTTTAGATACAGGGCTGGGGTATTCTTACTTATGCAACAAATACTTATTGGGTGTCCAACACTCGCCTTAGGCACTAAGGACATGTCCTGTGGAACTTACACTCTAGAGAGGAAGACAAGGAACAAATAAAATATGTACAATATCAGCCGGTGAAAAATGCTATGGAGAAAAGTGATGCAGAGAAGGAGACAGTGAGTAGGGATAAGGGATGGCAACTCGTAGAGTTGGGGGGATTAGAGAAAGCCTGTTGGAGACGGCACTTGTAAAAAGCCTTGAAAGAAGTGAGGGAGTGAGTCCTACAAATATATGGGAGAAGAACCTGCCTGCCCCGTAGTGTGCCTGGACTATCTGAGGAATAGGAAGGCTGGAGTGGAGTAAGCTTGGGGCCTGGAGAAGAGAAATACAAGATGAAACCAGAGGTGTAAGCAGGCGGAGAGAGGGAGTAAGTTTTGTGGTCCTTTCTCCCTCCCTCCCAGATTATTAGACCAAGAAAGGGCCTTCCAGATCGTTTAAGGCTCTTAAACATCCTCCAGTCCAGGAAGTATCTAATGGATGAGGCAGGAGGCAGACAGCAGAATCTCCTGGGTGGGGACTGCCTCGCTGTGCAGCCCTTGACATGAAGAGAAAATTTTAAAAAGGAGAAACAGAAATGACAATTAACATAAAAAATGTTTAGCACACTTGCAAGAAGTGTTAAAAATTTTTTTTTACTTATCAAATTATCAAAAACTTCTTTTTTTTATTGTGGTAACATTGGTTTTTAGTTATCAGAAACTTTAAAAAAGAAATAGTGGTAGTGAAGGGACAGTGAGAGAGGCATTCTTAAACACTGTTGGTAGGAGCATACATTAGTACAAACTTTCTAGATGGTATCTGGTAAGATTTTTTCAAGCCCCATAATTAAAACCATTTGATCTTAGAGTCTGTCTTAGGAAACAGCCAGAAAGGTGAAGGAAGATTTATGCCCAATGTTCTAATGATATATAGCATTATTTATAGTGATATAAAAAATTAGGAAACATTACTTAAATGTCCAAAATTAGGGCTAATAAATTATCTTCTATTAATGTGATGGAATATCATGCAACCATTAAATGATGTTCATGAAGATAAAAGCAAAATGCAAAATTATATATACAAAATAACAATTGAATAAAAACACATACACAAAGTACTACAAGGAAATGTAATCCAATATCAAAACTGATTTTTGTTCCCAGCGGCAATATCATGAATTTATTTACTCTGCTTTTTAAAAATCTTTTCCTCTGCTTTCCAAATTTTCTACATACTAATGATATGTTTGAGCTAGCTTGCACCAATCCAAGAGCACCAATTGTGTGTATCTTTTCCAAACTTTCCATGCAATAATGTTAGATTGAGAACTTGAAATTGGTCCTAGTAAGAATATTTACACCGTGGAAACTGGCAAATGCTACAAACTGAGGATTTTTCATCTGGAGAGCTGGCTGTTAATTACTACCAGCACACCACTGACAATGACTATGAACAATGCTCTGATCAAGAAGAAAACCACACACATACATACAAGGATCAGTAAGCTACTATTCAGAAAGCAGTATTTCTTGGATCTCAAAAAGCTTCATGAAGAGACAAACATGTGTCCAGGTCTTAGTCCAAGAATATGAAAATGGCATAATGACCCTAAGCATAGGGAAGGAGCATTTAACACATGTAATGAATGAGACATACTTATATTATAATTTCCTCAGCTTTGCCACATTGGAATCTCTGACCAAGACTATCTGAGTTAATGCCTAACCCTCTCAGGGCCTTTGGAAGGTATGTTTGTTATTTTGGTACTAACCTAACACATGCTGCAAAAGAAAAACTGGAAAAAAAATCAAGGCTTAGAATGAGTTCTGGTGATCACTTTTAATTTATCTTCCATCGTTAAAATGTGATCTGGGGCCCACATGTTCTACTAAGCATAGACACGAAGGTCTCTCTGCTTCTTATTACCAACTACTCTAGGGTTTTACAGTTATCAGTACCGATGAGGTCTTTCCAAGGAATTTCACGGCCATGGTTTCTCCTGCAGTCAAAGGCAGGCAATTCAACAAGTATTCATGTTTTCCAAGAGTGTGATTCCATATGACTTTGTGGTGAGAGTTAATTTCGTTTTCTCTGGGATTAGGCATGGTTCTAGAAAGTGCTTCTTAAATTGAACAAGCCTTGAGGACCTTATGCAAAATTTCCAAAGGAGGGCCATATGCATAGAAATGCAATAATGATATATAAGCTTAATATCCCTTTCTCCCTCCCTCCCAGATTAGTAGACCAGGAAAGGGCCTTCCAGGTCATTTAAGTCTCTTAAATATTCCCTAGTCCTGGAATTATCTAATGGGTGAGGCAGAAGGCACATAGCAGAATCTCCTGGGAGGGATGTCTTTCAATATAACACGGTTTTATATTTGAAGTAAGAAACCCAACTATTTATATAAAACAAATTACATAATGTATATTTCAACAACATCTTCTTAGCTGCTAGGAATACAAAAAAGATATAGGACAATTTTTCAGTGGGGGATGGTCTCTTACTGTGGTTCTCAAACCTGGGCATGCATCAGAATCAGCCCGAGCTGCTGATTCAGTAGGTCTGAGGTACACTTCTAACAAGTTTCCAGGTGATGCTGCTGTTCATCTCAGGACCACACTTTCAGAACCACTGGTCTCTGAGAATCCTGATAAGAAGAGCTGAGATTTTTCTGGTTATGGGAAGAGGAAATAAATTGTGGAAAAAGGAAATTATAACATATGAACCTCATGTAACCATTTCTTATTATGTCTCTCTTCAGATCTCATAATAATAAATTGTCTTAAAAACAATTTGGATGTATATTTTCTTTCACAGTGACAAAAAGGGTTAAAAAAATGCAATCCAGTTCAAAACCTGCTCTTAGGAGAGAACAAAGGATTTGCCTTTTATGACGCCCTTACTGTTCTTTATGGAAAGAAGTGGAATTGAACCTGCTGATCATCAATTCACCTATTTTAAAGGGCTGCTGTGTTGTATGACACTAGGAACTTAATTATTCATGCTGTAATCCATGTGAGTGGAGCCCCTGGAGTTGTCCAACTCAGCTGCCCTAACCACACTGTATTAGTTCCAGAGTGGCACTGCCCTTCTCTATCCTTCTCATTCATTGGCTGAAGAAATAGTTCTTGGTCCTCAACCATATGCCAGGCACTGTTCTAGGGGCTTAAAATACATCAGCCATCAAAACAAAGATCCTGGGGCCAGGCCAGTGGCACAGCGGTTAAGTTCGCACGTTCTGCTTCGGCAGCCCGGGGTTCGCTGGTTCGAATCCTGGGTGTGGACGTGGCACCACTTGGCAAGCCATGCTGTGGTAGGTGTCCCACATATAAAGTAGAGAAGGTGGGCTCAGGGCCAGTCTTCCTCAGCAAAAAGAGGAGGATTGGCAGCAGATGTTAGCTCAGGGCTAATCTTCCTCAAAAAAAACAAAAGAAAACAAAACAAAACACAAAACAAAGATTCTCACTGAGGAGTTATGCTCTTGAGGAGGGACTAAACAGTAAATAAACTAAATAAGTAAATTATATAGAAGGTGGTAAGTGCTATGGAAAAAAGAAAGCAAGAGAAGGGCAGGTGGGATTGAGAATGCTGGGGAGAACTGTGGCCTCGCTGAGAAGAGGTAGTCGAGCCCAGAGTGAAGGAGTTGAGAGAATTAGCTAAGTGCACATTCGGGGAAAAGAGTTCAGGAGGCAAGAACTGCAAGGAGGCCGCCGCTGTGGCTGGAGTTGGTGTGACCTAGAGAGAGAAGGAGGAAATGAGGTCTGAGAGCAGGGGTGGGGGCAGAGCCAGATCAGGCAGGATGTAGCCCTCAACTGGGACTCTGGCTTTTAGTCTTAGTGCAGTAGGGCACCCTTGAAGGTCTCTGCCATTTGTTCCTGGGAGACTTATCTCATCCCCATTAGTATCCACAGCCTCACAGGCACTTTGCCCCACTTCTTTGAGAGCCCACATGAACTGTGAGGTAAGGCTACTTCTGTGTCAATTCAGCCGGGCTACAGCACCCAAAGATTCAAACACTAGGTGTTGCTGTGAAGGAATTCTGTAGATGGAGTTAACACC